AGCTAGTCCCTACCACTTGCAAGGGCCCACATAAGATGATTTCCTGACATGCAAATCAATTTCTAATCCTATTTAGGTGCTTTGGAGAGTCCTAATTGAAAAGAAATTCAAAGCCAGAAATTCAAAGCCCCTATATAAGTTTCCTATTTCCAAAAAGATTTTCTTCTTACTTAATGAAGACTCTATTTCCCAAATGAAGTCGGATTTTCTCCCAGGAAGTCTATATAAAGAGAGAACAGATTCATTGTAGAGATATATCTGGTTCTACCATCTTTGTTCTATTATTTTCTCTCTCTCTCCAAGACTTTAAGCATTCAAGATTTGTGTCAAGATTCAGGGATGTCGTCCACGTTATTTGTTGACTAGTTTTTATCCCTAAACTCTTAATCTTGTTTTTACTTTTCATTACTTCACATTGATTATGGAATTATTTTCAAGTTTAATTGAGTTTTATTTAATTACTATAATTGAGCTTTATTTAATTACAATGTCAAACTAAATTCTCATACTAAGGATTGATGTAGCTTAATTTCTATTCCAATTTATAACATTAGATTTGTTTTTCCTTGTTCATGATATAATTTATTATTGAACTTAATGTTTCCAAGCAGAGTTACTCCCCTGGATTGATTTATTTCATTAATCACTATCAGGAGAAGGGTTTTTAATATGAATAGGGTAACAAATTACATCAGAATAATAACTTGATGCGGAAACTATATGGTTTGACTCACGGGGGTTTTTATAAGTTAATGACCTTAGGTTATGAATTCACAAAACAAACTATAAGACTTAATGATTTAATTCATGTTTGATTGTGCTATTGGAAGATAGGAAATTAGACCGGGTTAAAAATAAAGCTACAATACATCGGGAGAGCTTTGTTAGTGATTTTAGGGTTGTTTTTCCCTCTTTTGAACAATTTTAAAATTGATTTAATGACTAATAAAATAAATTGGAAATAGAATTAGTGAAAGTCAAAATCCCTAGTTAGAAGTTTTTAAAACCTTGGTTTTTTTAAATCAAAATTTGCTTTGCTTGATTTCTTTTTATTTCTTTTATTTATTGAATTAATTTTCTTAAAAATAAATCTCTATTGGCTGTTTAATAATAGGTTAATATAATTTTAGTAACTTGGTATACATCCTTCCGAAAGGGGGGGGGAAAAGATACTCATTCATTCTATATTACTTGTTTGGATTTCGTACAATTGCTAGGTTAATATAATTTTAGTACTTGGTATACAATCCTCGAGGGAACGATACTCTATTCATTCTATATTACTTGTTGCGATTTCGTACACTTGCAAAAATCACTATCAAGAATTAACAAAATTTGAATTATTGTGATGGTAATTGTGAAGATAAGATGGAATTTTGATAGTTCTAAAACTTTTCCTAGAAGGAACAGCGAAAGAAGAAGATGGTTGAGAAATTATAAAATCCGTTGTATCCATAGTAGCAGCAAGTTCATCTTGAACAATATGATTATAACAATTTAAATCAGGAACATCAATTGTATTATTAGGATACAATTTAAATCACTAGAAAATGCAGCACTAAAAGGAATAGAATCACTAGAACTAGTAGACACAGGAGTAAAAGAAACAAAAGAATCAAAAGGAAAAAGAGGAAGAATATAGGATGGATTTGAAGTAGATTTTTGAAAGGAAAAAAAAATAATAGGGTCCTTAAATTTTGGCCTAATTTCGATTCTATCAACATATGATCCTTCCGTCCAAAAGGTCTCCTTTTTACCATCAAATGAAAGTGAAAATATGAAATTGCTCTTATGTAAAAAGAGGGTTTTTATCGTTGGAGAGAAAAGTCAATTGTAAAGGAAGTTTGATGGTCATCTTTGAGAGGAGAGGGTTTTTGCATCTCCAATCTCAGATAAAGTGAATATTCTAATCTTTGAGCTTTGTAGTAAGGAAACTAATGGAATATACAGTGGAGATATTATTATTTCGAGAACCAACTATAATATTATTGAATTCTTCATGAGTGAACTAAACTAAGTAGCCTGATATATGTTACTATAAGAAAACACCGGAATAACAACAGATTTTTAGCAACGGATTCATTAGAAACGGATTAGAAATGGAATAGGATCCAGAATCTTTTACTAAATATAGTAACGAATTGGAAACGGATGAGAAACAAAAATGTTAGGAACGAAAATATCTGTTTCTAAGTTTGGCGGGAATAGAGCCCGCGGGTCATAGAAACGGATTAGAAAAGGAGATAGAAACGGAAGTGGGAAAAACGGATTATATATCCATTACTAAATTATGGTCAAAGTATTATGACTTATGAACAATAGATTAAGAACGGATGGGCAACGGATTATATTAATGACTAGCTTGATAACTGTGTCCATTTTATATGCGTATTTTTTCTGTGCTTTATGGCTTAAGAAACAGTTTGTGTGGGATGAGGAGATTGATGCATCCGTAAAAAGGGAAAACCTGGAGTAAGAAGGCTACAAATCGCTATAGGGGCATGCTTGGTAAATGGCAAAAGAAAAAACCCAAATATATCCCTAATGATATTTGGAATAACTTGAAGCCTCATTAGGATATTCCTGAACAAATAAACTCTGAAAAGTGTTCCAAGGGTTGCCTTACTAAGACTAGTGGTCCAGGGTCTAGTCCTTCACAACATACAGGAGGCTCTATTCCTCATATAGTGCATGCAAAATGTTTGCTATATTCTTTTTTTTTTCTTAATTCAAATTAAATTTAATGATAAATTATCTATTTTGCTAAGTGGATAATGTAATAACTATTGTCTAAATTTTAGGAGGTTCAATTACAATGACCCTCGCTTCCACATGAGGTTTTAGAGGCAACACACTATAGAAAGAAGGATTAGCAATTCGTAGTCCAGAGGTCCAAGAAAACATTTATAAGTTGACACAACCAAAATTGTTATTATTCTGCTTATATTTCAACAATAAAAGTGCAAGTATTGATCATTATATGTTTTCATTACTTTCAAGAGGCTACTGTATCTAGAGTTGAAACTAAATCTCAAACTAAAGAGGGGTCTAGTGAAGCATGCCCAATTGATGCTACTCAAATATATCTACATGAAGTTGGTGGTATCAAAAAGCAGTGAGTTTATGGCCTCGATTTGCAGGCATCATTTTTCTTTGGTCATTCTAGCACCTCTAGCTCTTCTGCTACATCTCACCTTCAAGAATAAGATGGTGAAAATATTGATGTTCGAATTCAGGAGATATTAGAGCAATGAATGAAAGAGTTGGAGATGCGATATCAACAAGAGTAGCAATAGCAACAACAATGATGTAGGAAAAGAGACAACAACAGTTACAACAACAAGTTGCAGAGCTTGTTTGCACTCATTTGACAACTATAGCTCCATCAGTTCACACTTCAGAGTATCTTGGACCGCAGTCTTCTTCAGATACTCACACTAGTACTTAGGGTGATGATACCATCTAAGTTTATCACTTTACTTGTTTTGTATTAATAGATATAAGTTTATTAGTACGTATGAGACATACTATTGTTTCTATTTGTGAGAGTTTTTGTTATCTTGATATTTTAAATATTTTAAATATTACGTTAACTTTATTTGATTTTAAATTTATTTTTATTAAAAATATACAAATTATAAAATTAAAAATATGACAGGACTAGAATATTCATAAATGTGGAAATATGGAATTGTTTGGAGTTGGATAGATAAATAGGTAAATAGCAACGATTTAGAAATGAATTACATACAGATTTTATGTGCCAATGGTAAGCTTAGAAACGGATCTTAGCAACGGATGATAGTTTAGCAACGGAATCATAAACGGATTTAGCAACGGAAAAATTCAAATTTTGTATTTTCGTCCGATGTAACAAACGGAAATCAGAAACGAAAATAAATCAATAGAAATGGAAAATAGAAACGGATTAGAAACAGAATAGGCTCAAGAATGAAATTTGTTCCCAAAGAGGTCAAAACTTGGAAACGGGTTTACTAGATACTATCAAAGTAATTATTATTGCCACTTATATTGTCAAATTTCATAACTTTGAAACATGGATTATTAATGTTTAATATGAGGATATATTAAAAAAATTAAGAAAATGATGGTTTAATCAATTATCTATATATATATATTTTTTCTTTTTTCGAACGCCCCTTACCCTATTTGGTGTAGGATTGATCTCATATCAAGATCACCACTTGAACCGCTGCTAAATAATTATTATCTTAGACTTTTTTTTTTAAATATACTTTGTAAAAAATCTTGTCATATTTTTAATTTTTATTTTGATCCCTTAAATACGTTAACTTATAAAATTGCACTCATTAAAAAATTTTAACTTTACTGATTGAATAATTCAACTCTTAAAATTAAATCGAATAAATATATGTTAAACAGTTGAAAATATAAAAATTATTGTTTTAAAAGTTAATACCGATGAAAGTTAAAAAACTTAACTTACGGTGTTATTAAAATGTTTAATTTTAGCGCTTAGGTGCAACCTTTTTTTTTTTTTTTTTTTTTTTTTAATTATTGTTTTTAAAAGTTAAATAACCGATGAGTTTAAAACTTTACTTACGGTGTTTATTAAAATGTTTTTAATTTTAGCGCTTTAGGTGCACTTTTTTTTTTTTTTTTTTTCTGAAGTAGATTATTGAATTTGGTGTATTTAGGGCAATGTGAAAATGACTATAAGACTGAGGAAGAAGACGAGACAAAGTATGCAAAGGGGTGAAATAAAATGAAGAAATAATACCTCACCTAGAATTTTTTTTTTTTTTTTTTTTTTTCTGAAGTAGATATTGAATTTGTGTATTTAGGCATGTGAAAATGAAACTATAAGACTGAGGAAGAGACGAGACAAAGTATGCAAAGGAGGTGAAATAAAAATGAAGACAACTAAAATACCTCACCTAGAATAAAATGCCCTTTGAAGCCACGCAAATCAAATTTACTTCTTCGTTTTCCTCCTTGGACAATCAGTTTCGTCAACGATGGCTTACCGTAAGATCACGATCTCTCTCTACCTTCTTTCTCTTTTCTTCTTGTCGAAAACCCATCTCTCTCTCTCTCTCACCGACCCATCTCTCAATCGTGACCGTCTACCTCTTCCTCAATCAATCTTAGACGTCCACGATCTTCTCCCTTTGTTCGGCTTGCCTCGTGGCCTACTACCAGACAATGTAAAATCTTACACACTATCTCCATCTGGGTCATTCACAGTTCAATTAAAAAGCACATGTTATGTTCACTTTGATCAGCTTGTATATTATGCTGAAGAAATTAAAGGGAAATTGAGTTATGGTGCTGTGCACGATGTGTCAGGCATTCAAGCAAAGAAGCTGTTTATTTGGTTACCAGTTAGTGGGATTGAGGTTAGCAGAGATGATGATATGATTGAGTTCTTTGTTGGGTCTTTATCTCAGAAGTTGCCGGCTAAGCAGTTCGAGGATATCCCTGCTTGTAAAAGCAAGGTTGGTCTAAGGAATAATCTGGACTCTATGTGAGGTAATATATACATATATATACCTTTTTTGTTCCATACCTTATATGATTGCTTTTTTATGTTTATATTATCACTTTTTACTGTTATTACCTTTGTAGAGGTTTTAGAGAGCTTGAAAGATTCCTTTTAGGCTGCCTAATCACTGAAAATTATAGATAGAGGAATCTAATTGAGTGCTAGTTTGTTACTGTTTCTAACATCTGCTTTTGGAGTTGGAATCAATGAAACCAGTTGTGTAAAAAGTATTGTGAAATATGTTTTCGCCATTGTGTTGATGCATTAGACCAACAATTTAGAGGATTGAAATTTATTTATTTATTTTGCTAGTTGTAAGATATATCTAAAAGAAGAATGTATGTGAACCAATTTTTAGTCAATTTGGTTCAATAGGATTATTAGACAAGTTGATGAATGTTTGGATGTGAGACAATTTTACAAAGGGGGTTATAGAACACATATGTGAAGCAATTCGTTTGCAATGCTTAAACTGATATCGATTCGGAGCTGAAAGAATAGGATTATCTTTGCCCCCTTTTCCCTCTGGGTTCTCAATTAGTAGTAACTGTGTCAAAGACTTTGGCAATTATAATGAATCCAGAAGTTTGATCATGAGCAAAGGAGCAATGTTATAATTTTCAAGAAAAGTTAGTAATGGGATTTTTTTTCACTTGCTAATATGTCACCTGGACCGCTATTGATTTGTTTGCTTTGTGTTTTGAGCTGTTATATGCCAGATTTTCCAAATCTTTTTTTTTTTGGTTAGCTATTGTGCAATCGTTTGAACTTCCAATCTCACAGCTTTTGAAACTGACTTTAGTACTGAATCTTATAATTCGAAATCTTGCATTTCAATTTCATAAATCTCGTGTCATTCTGTCATCTTAGAGGTCTACTGTCATAGATGGCTGTTAATTCCTGAAGCTGTTATTCTTTAAAGTGCCTCAAGCTATGGTTTTCATGTAGCTGAACTCTTACTGTAAGAACAGTAAGCATATTGGAAACCAACATTCATTAGATTCTCCGTGAAAACAAAGTTAGGATGACAATTCCAAGTGTGTTGCCTTGTTAAATGTTCACTTTAAATAATTCCTCGTCTTTGCCTATGTTATAAGCACCCCACTCTCCTTTCTCCCACACTTTATACTGCCCTGCAGGACCAAAAGAAGCTTTTCAGTGACTCTCCATTATCCTTGTTAGAAAAGTTCTCATTTACAGCTTGATGCTACAATCATGGGGACATTTCCTGTGAGGTTCTTCTTTTTTTTTCGTGGAGAATTTTCTTTTGTCTTAACAGAGGAAAATGGAAATTTTCCGTGATGAAATTGTTGCAGAGCTGCTGTTATGTGTGAAGATTTGTTTTCTTATTGCTTTCTGAAATTGTCCCTAGATGTGATGTTGATATCCTGTTGTGGCTATCGGGCAGATTTCTAATGGCACTTTTACCTGTTAATAAATGTATTCGTTCTCATTGAACAATGTTCAGTTGCAACTTGAAGAGCAATACCATGAAAAACCTTTGATTTTTCAGTCTTTTCTGATTATTTATTTATTTTTCGTGGCTAAACTTTAACAATGACTTACACTTAAAACATAGAATTAGTGGGTTGTAGATATTTCTTTTAAGAAGCATTTGAAGTTAATGGCTACAGTCCTACAGTTGCAGAATCAAATTTACAGTTGTCAAGCAATACAGCTTTCGAAAATTACCAAGGAGTGAAGGTTGAAGCACTGGCACTCTCTTTTAGTTTTTCCCCCTACTATTTTAGCTTTAGACTTGTATATGGAAAATGGCATGCTCTTATGAGAAATACGGTTGAATCGGATACTAAACTGCTGTTTTACTGAATTTTATCAAGTACAAATTACTTTTACTGCCCGAAAAAGAGTTCATCATTATCTATTACAATATTCTGACTCTCTTTTTCCCCCAAACTTATTACCTGTTTCTTCAAATGTGCAATAAGATGTCTTAGTATCAATCGGACAAGATGATTTCAAGTATGTGCTGCTTTTGAAAAACTAATGAAACTTCATTTCTTGATATCATGGCAGGCGGTAAAAAAAATGTTATGTTCTTGTCCATTCACCTTGAAAGCAGTGCAGATGTGGGCATGGGAGCGCGCTAAGTGGCTCCTCTCTAGCTTATGTGAGTCAAAGTTTCTCTTGCTTGATTCATAACTTGATTTGACTGAAGCAGATTAATGCTGTGTATTTCATTTTACCATTCAGTGGCTTGTTTGATGAATGTAAACTACCAAGTGACTCGTCTATAAATCTATCTTCTCAATATGTTAATATCTTGCAATTTTACAGATCTTCTGCATCTGTATGTTAATCACAGAAAAGACAGGATAATTGTAAAAGTATTTTAAATTTTCTATTTATTATTATTATTATTATTATTATTATTATTTTAAATTTTTATTTTTCAGCTTTAGTTATTTTGTTTCAATCAAGTGTTTAACTAGTAAACTTTTTACAATTAAGTGTAGTTGATTTTTGGGAATTGTTTGCCTGAATATCAAATATTTTGCTCATTCACTTTATATATTTCTCTAGAATAATACTTTTTCCTCTCGATTTTCTTTTATCATTTTATTTTATTTTATTTTATTTGGAATAGAAAGAAAATTATAAGAAATCAAGATGCAAGACACTAAAAACTTAAAAAAAAAAAAAAAAGAAAAAAAAATAAGAAAGAAAGATAATTTAAAAAAAAAAAAAAAAAGAAAGAAAGATAATTGAAATGAATACTTACACGTGATATTTTTTTATTGAGATTATTATACTTTTTGTATGAAAATTTGGACTCGTATGTATTTAATTTGAAGATATTTATTTGTTCGTACTCTTAATTAAATCAATAAAACTAGAATTTAAATAGTAAAATAGAAAATTTAGACACTAATTATATTATTAATCCCATAAAATTGGTTACCCTAACGGAATTAAGGTCATGTACCAGTACTAGGAATGTAATGGGCTATCTAACGTATTTTCTGTCAACTCTTCTGTTGGCGCAGGAAAGGAAGGTCCAGCTGGGCCTTGAGAGTATGATTTGGGCCCACAAATGGGGGCTTTCAATTCTTTTTTAAAATTATGTAAATAATGAATATTTTAGAATTTACATTGGACGCAACAACTTATTATATTATATATATATAAATAGAAAACAACTACAGTTGTAAAGAAACGTTTTACGAACTGAACAAAAAGCGATTTTGGTTGTATCTTCACCTTGGCCAATGCCTTAAAAACTCATGGTCGCATTCCACTAGAAGAAATTGTTTTTATTTCATGAATGTATTACAGATAGCTCTGGAAAAGGGACCCTTGGTCACTGCTAACCCTATTAGATAAAAGGTGCCCTAGTAGACCAAAGGCCAAAGTTTATGGTTGGTTAGGGGAAATCTCAATTTACCCTTTAAATTTTGAGCAATTATTTATCCATTTTTTATTTGGATCAATTGAACTATTGAGTCTTGAGTTAAATATTGCTAAATATAATAATATTTTCTGAAAGTTTCTGATTGTCTTTTGAGAATGCTATCAAATTAGTATACAAAGAAGAGAGATAACTCATTAGGTAGTTGGCCTTTTGAGTTGTAGGATAGAGGTGAGCTTGAATTTAGACCAAGTATTGTTAAAAAGATAGACTACCTATTATATATTTGGCATTCCACCTTTCTATACCTAGTATTTTATTCAACATGTGATTCTAATTAACATAATCGATTAATAATAAGAATTTATATATATATATATATATTTTTAAGAATTAATTATATATATATATTTTTTATTTTTTTTGATATTGCAATGCCTTTTATATTATTATATATATATATATTTTTTTATTTTTTTTGATATTGCAATGCCTTTTATATTATTAAGATCAAACAGCAGTATATTAGAAATCAAAGATGGAGGGTGAGAAGTCCACTCCACAAAACCAGACAAAGAACTAGATGCTTTAGCTAAAGAATGTGCAATTTAGTTCGCTGATTTTTTAACAAAGCTAAAAGATAAAGCTGAAAACTCATTTGCAAGAGTTTGACAATTAGAAATTAAAGTGCCAAAATAAAAACAATCCACTACTGTCCTTTGCAAAGCTTGAATAGCAGGTAAAGAATCACTCTCAATGTGCATAGCACCTTCAAAGTTCTTCTCCTTCAACCAGCTCAAAACTTCTCGGATGCTCAAAACTTCAGCCATCAAAGCATTAGAAACAAAGCCCAAAGACATAATTTTACCACCTTTACACCATCCTACAGAGTCCTCAACAATCCAACCTGCCCCTGCTACTTTAGAATTAATATCAAAGGATGCATCAACATTAATCTTCAAATGCTGCAGAGGTGGCGATTCCCATTTTGTTACAAAATGCTGCTGAGTAGCTACACCATTTGTTCCAGCCATAATCTGAGCAGCCTGCCATGCTCGAATAAAGGTCATAGCCTGATGAATCACCAGTGAAGCAGTAGTAGTAAGCTTATGATTCCACACCATATTATTTCTAGCATTCCAAATCTCCCAAGCAACCACCATCGCTTCACAACACAACTCCCTACTACATCGTGTCATTATAAGTTGAAACCAATCAACTATAGTAGTTACTAAACCCCACCAACCCACATCAGATAATAGCCAGTAGTCCTTGGCGTAAGTACAACTAATTAAACAACGAATATCTGATTCCTTTACATTATTACACAAAGGACATACACTAGAAACTTTCACTCGTCGTGATCGCAGTACCATTCTTGTAAGCAAAATCTTCAGTACAGCTCGCCACATAAAATTAAGAACTTTGGCTTGACATTTTCAATTCCACAGAAACTTCCATAGGGAAACCTGTATACCTGGTATAGCATCCATATGGCTGTGCAGTGACTCATATCCACTTCAAACCTTTATACATACCCTTCCAGTTTCATGAGTCGTTAGAATCATGAACACTCAATGAAATGTGTTTTATCAAAAACCTTTCCTCTGCTGTTAATAGTGCCAATATAACCTCTTCATCCTAGCTTCTGCCATCTGCTTGTAAAAGATCCGAAACTCGAACCTCCTCCATGCCAGAAATATTTAAGGATCGCAATTTTCTATGTCAGGCAGCCACGGATTTGAAAAAACCAAAGTGGATTGACCATTGCCTATCCTCCTTACACACCCCTTCTTCAACAGCTCCTGCCCATCAATTATGGACCGCCAGATATCACTCGGTCCTTCTCCCAACTGAGCTTACAAAAAATTAGAATCGAAATAATATTGTGCATTATATAACCTGCTAATAAGTGCACTGGGATGCGTTAATAAATGCCAACCAGTTTTAGCTAACATGGCAAGGTTAAAATAATGTAAAGAGCGAAACTCAATCCCTCCTTTCTTATGTTGACATAATGCCTTCCAGGTAGACCAATGAATTCCAGATTCACCATTACACCACCAAAATCGATTCATTGTAGTTTCCAGAGAAGCACAGATATTAGCCGGCAGAAGAAAAATTGCCATTAAAAAATTCGGAATAGCTTAGATAACTGTCTTCAATAATGCCTTCCAGGTAGACCAATGAATTCCAGATTCACCATTACACCACCAAAATCGATTCATTGTAGTTTCCAGAGAAGCACAGATATTAGCCGGCAGAAGAAAAATTGCCATTAAAAAATTCGGAATAGCTTAGATAACTGTCTTCAATAATGCCTTCCAGGTAGACCAATGAATTCCAGATTCACCATTACACCACCAAAATCGATTCATTGTAGTTTCCAGAGAAGCACAGATATTAGCCGGCAGAAGAAAAATTGCCATTAAAAAATTCGGAATAGCTTAGATAACTGTCTTCAATAATGCCTTCCAGGTAGACCAATGAATTCCAGATTCACCATTACACCACCAAAATCGATTCATTGTAGTTTCCAGAGAAGCACAGATATTAGCCGGCAGAAGAAAAATTGCCATTAAAAAATTCGGAATAGCTTAGATAACTGTCTTCAATAATGCCTTCCAGGTAGACCAATGAATTCCAGATTCACCATTACACCACCAAAATCGATTCATTGTAGTTTCCAGAGAAGCACAGATATTAGCTGCATTTTTACTAAAAAATATTTCTGATTTCTTATAATTAACTTGTGTGTAGATCCTGCCTGGTAGAGAGAGAGGCAATGCTTAACGACAAAAGCTTCCGAAACTACAACTTTAAAAAAATAAAATGCATAGTCAGCAAAAAATAAATGGGATATAGACAGCGCGCTTCGAACAATCCGGATTCCATGAAGCTGACCATGCCTTTCAAAACTCCTTAAAAGTGCATATAGACCCTTTGCCTCCCCTTGTCGAAGTCCTCTGGAAGGAATAGTAGGACCAAACTATTGACCCCTATGAGAAATATGCTAGGACACAGTAGTAACCATATGCATTATTTTTTAGATCCACCCTTCTGCAAAACCCAATCTTCGCAGTATAGCCTACAAGAAAGCCAACTCTACCCTATCGTATGCTTTGCTCATATCAGTCTTAAGAGCTGCATACCTTCTTCCCTTGAGTCTTTCTTTTAAGGTAGTGATTGATCTTAAAAGCCACCATAATATTGTTTTGCTCATATCAGTCTTAAGAGCTGCATACCTTCTTCCCTTGAGTCTTTCTTTTAAGGTAGTGATTGATCTTAAAAGCCACCATAATATTGTCTGTGATGAGACATCCTCGAATAAAAACACTTTGATGTTCTGAAATAATAGTCTAGGCAAAATTTCATGTGATTAGCCAGGACTTTACAAACATTTCGATCAATAACATTACATAGGGAAATGGGTCTCAAATCTGTAACAACCTCTGGATTTTTCTCTTTCGAGATCAATAAAATCTTGGTATGATTTTCACCAGGTGCAGGCAAATCATTGTTCAAACAGGCTAAACAAGCTCGACAAATATCAATACAAATTATGGACCGAAAAGAGCGATAAAAACTTGGATTAAGGCCATTCGGTCTAGGAGCTTTATCCGGGTGCATACTAAAAGCTGCTACTTTCTCCTCGTCACATGTAAAAGGCCGGTTTAATTCCTCATTTTGCTCGACAGTCACCTTCTGTTCAACACAATCTAGAATAACCGACATGTTAGCCGCCTTTGTTGAAAACAAATAAAAAAAAAAAATTTTGCTCAATCCCACGTCGGGGAGAAGAGCTTATGGAGGATAGTAGATTGGCTATAAAAGGAAGTAAGGTTTAGATTTCTAAACACACCAAAAATACTTGAATGTGTTTTATATTAAGGATTTAGAGCAAATCTCTTGGAGTTCCTTAGAGTATAAAATATTTAGGGTGTTTTGAGGGTGTCGGGTAGAAAAATATTTTGTAATTGTGGTTGTAACAATTTGCCGCATAGTAAATATTTTTTTGATTGTCGTTTTGGCAAACGGCCGTTGGTTTTTTCTCGCAGCTTGGGAGTGTTTCCACCGTTAAATTATCGTGTTTCTTTAATTTCTGTCTCCGTCATGTATTTTTTATTTTCTCATTTGTTTCTTGATTGGAAGCCGATCCGAAGGGCGGGAAAATAGCGATTTTCCCAACATGTGGTATCAGAGCGCTTAGTTGTTAGCGAAGCTTTTAGTGTTAATAATTTCTTTGTAATTTAATTATAAGTATGCACTGTGGGTTGCGGCTTAGTCTGTCTTCCACATCAGAAATACTGTTGTTTAGAATATTAATTTTATTTTAAAAGGCAGGTGGATTTTTGAAGTCTTGAAGCCGGGTGGAGCTTTGCTTTTGGTGTGCTTGGAGTACGCGGTGGTGAAGTCCTGACGATATTATTGAGTAAAAGTTTATTCTGGTAATGAAGTTTTGATAAATGAGGATCTAGATGGTGGAAGTGCAACAGTAATTCTGTCTAGAAGGCTTTGGATTTTAATGTGGGACCAGCTTGTAACCTACACGCGTGACACTGAGAATTTACGTGGGAATGGTAAATATTGTCTAGGAGATCATTGTGATCTTTTCCGTGTGGTATCTGTCGAATCGGTGTTAAGCTTCATGATGAATTATTGGGTTCACTGTTATAGCGACAAGATAAGTCATGCGTTCGGAGTGGAGGACTATGAGATGTGGAGATTGAGAAATTTGACGGGGAAGATGAATTTTTTTGCACTGTGGCAAGTCAATCAAAGACGTGTTGGAGTTCAGTCTGGACCTGCAATAAAGGTTTTGAGGTAAACCAGTCAGCGGAAGAAATTCAGGAAAAGACAGTAGCCACAGTGGAGACTCAAAAAATCCCAAGATTAGCCGATGAAGATCGGAGGAGCTGGATATCAAAAGCGGCAAGTCAAATTCGCAATGTGTCTAGCAACAAAATGTCTTGCTAATTGGTGTTTGGAGTTGTTACGACAAAGGATTGTGGGAGAAACTGAAGAATTGTACCAGGGAAAAATATATCCAACAGGTATATTTGAAGGAGAATTTCATACACGTTGAAAATATGGCGGAAAGTTAAGAACCTGTCAGATCACTTGAGTGTTTCTTAACGAATCGTCTCTGAATAGAAACTCTTGGAGTTGGCAAACCGAAGATGAAAGATAAAGCCTCTCCGACCATCTGTCACTTCCTCGACATATGAGCACATGAAACTGTTCTGACAATTATGGTAGTAAAGAAAGTGGTGTATGCGATCGGTGGTTAGTAAGCTCCTTACTGAGGAGAGAAGACTGAATGAAATGAAAATAAATCATAATGAGGATTCAGCTTTATTTGTCGGTACAAGAAAAAGAATAAAGCTCTGGAAAGAGAGAGGTTTGTCTGCCTGGGTTTTGTGGTCAAATTGGACACGTGAGGAAAGATTGCCCGAACGGTGGAGCTCGATTCGCTAGAAAAGCTTCTAAACGTTGTCGCTCCGGATGGTGATCTTCCTGTTGGCGAAAGGAGATGATTGATCTTTCCTGTTAATTGGAGATGTGGTGTCCTCATGGCATGAATTGCTACCGTTGAGATGCATGGAAGATTTGACAGATTATTGGTAGCTGGTCCACAGAAATGCGCACGGTGCATTGGTTGACAGTTGAAATGCAAAAGTGTGGTGGATGCAAAGTGTGTGGTGGAAAAAATATGTAGATGGCTAATGAACTCTCGGAAAAAGTCAACAGGAGGGTTGCACCATAAACTATTAGTGGGATCCGACATGACCGATGGAAATTCTTGGAGTCGGTAAAGTGGTTCCAAGTGGTGATACTCTTTTATGGTGGAGTATGATAATTCTTGACGATAAAAATTATGATTGTCGGTAGCAGACAATGTTGTTTTTTTTTTAATTTTATTTTCAAGGTGGAGATTGTTAGCCGCCTTTGTTGAAAATAAATAAAAAAAAAACATTTTGCTCAATCCCACATCGGGGAGAAGACCCACATCGGGGAGAAAGAGCTTTAATGGAGGATAGTAGAATTTGGGCTATAAAAGGAAGTAAAGGTTTAGGTTTTCTAAACACAATAGCCAAAACACCCAAACTATCTTGAATGTGTTTTTATATTATGGGATTTAGAGCAAGTCTCTTGGAGTCGCAAATTAGAGTATAAAATATAGGGTTTTTTGAGGGTGTCGGGTGGCAAAAATATTTTGTAATTGTGTTGTAACAATTTGGCCGCATAGTTGCGATATTTTTTCTGATTGTCGTGAATATTTTTCTTGATTGTCGTTTGGCAACGGCCATGGTTTTTCTCCACTTGGGGAGTTTTCCACGTTAAATTATCGTGTTCTCTTTAATTTCCCAGTCAT